CTTTTTTGGTCCATCACTTTTCACACAAGATACGTATTTACGTGCAAACAGCAATCTTTTGTTATTTATATGGAAGTAAATTGATTAGTTATATGGATGTATATTCTCATAGGTGCTTAAGCGAGAGATAAGCAAAGCACGTATAAGAATCATGGAACCTTTGCTAAAGGGATCCGCTGGTTTGGATTACCTCAAGAATGCTTTTGCCAATCGCTATGGATCTCCCTCTGACGCATACTCCTCCCTACCATTAACGGTGCAATGGCTATCTATTGTGTGGAATTGCAAAGATCATGAGTGGGAAGAACATGGACATTCCCTCTCTGCTTTGGACAATGAAAGTTCATCTCATGGCTTGATTCCTTCCACCACCCTTAGAAGTGGTGGAACCTTTGTGGTCAAACCTAACATGACTTCTGTTGCATCTGGGGCTACCAAGACCGCAGGTTTGAATGCTTACCCTCCTGTGAAAATTAGAGAAGGAAAAACTTTCAACTGTAATTTGGCTTATACTTTTTTATCATCTCATTTTGCGTCGTCTTTTGTTGATCAGGTAATCAACAGCCAGAATGCAAGGGAGAAAGAGTTGATTTGCTCGTCAGGCTGGGCTTGCTCAAGTTGGTAAGTGGTGTAACTGGTCTGACACAAGAAGTTTTGCCCGAAACTTTTATGCTGAACCTCCAGAGGCTGAGGGCTGTTCAGGCTCAACTTCAGAAGATTATTGTAACTGCTGTCAGGTAATTGACATAATTCCCAGCATTACTCTCTATTTAGCATTTTGTTAGTAAATACTTTTAGGCCTTACTTATCTGTGGCTGTAAATGCAGCATTCTTATTTGCCGACAAACCCTCGTAAGTGAGAGAATAATAGACAGCTCTAGGGATATGGAGGGAATTGTGTCAGAATGCATAGAGAGACTAGTGGAGCTCTTGGATGTTGTGGAAGATGCAGGTATTGAAGAAATTGTTGAATCAATCAGTAGGTTCTCAGTGAACAGTCTCGAAGATGGAGACGTCCAGAAGCTGCAATCACGGAAGGCGGTCATGGCGAGGATGTTAGCAAGGAGCTTGCAAGCCGGGGATCCTGTATTTGAAAAGGTATCCCGAGCTGTCTATGCTTCTGCCAGAGGAGTCGTGCTCGGAGGGAGTGGACCCCATGGAAGAAAACTAGCTGAGATGGCGCTCCGACAAGTTGGAGCTGCTGTACTGAGTAAGAGACTGGTGGAAGCTGCTGAAGTTTTAGTGGTGGCTGCTACTGTATCAGTTAGTGTTCATGGACCATGGTATACACAACTGACTGATACCATGTGAAGTATGATTTGGCGTACAGAAGAAAATAATGCACAGATGTAGATGGTAGGAGTTTTTATTTAAAGCTGTGTCTTAATTAACTGCAGTTGTAAATTATGGATATAGATTTTAACTATTAATGCAAAATTCTTTCTTTCTTTGGTGTAATACAAGGGAACAACATATGTAAATATGTTTGGATGTAATAAAGCGGTCTGTTTCGATCCTTTCTTTGCCTTCAGGTTTCTCACAGGAAATATTTGTAGACCGTAATTATTGTCTTGGTAATAATAATATTAAAAATAATGTCAATGGTACTTCTTGTTTTTGTTAAAGTATTAAAACTATTGTTGGTCTATCTCCTAATTGTTTAAGTTTTTGAGATAGATTGGTAAATTAACATAGTATTAGAGTAGGAGATCTTGAGTTTAAACTCCCGTAATTGTACTATTTATCTCTATTTAAATTGTCATCATGTGTTGGGTCTTTAATATATCTCGGGTTTAAATATTCACGTGTTGGATTTTTCAATTAATTTACTCACACAATTGTCAATTGTTTAGCCCACACGTGAAGAAGAGTGTTAAAGTATTAAATTATTGTTGATCCAGTCGAACAGCGTAATGAGTCTAAGGTTACAGAAGCGTTCGCCAACTTCACTTTGATAGGTATAGCATTGCAAGCAAATAGAGCAGAGAGCTTACCGTTTCTTTCTATTAGAGTCGCGAGCTTGTTGTAGTCGGTCCTAACCTAAAGGAATAAACTTGCTGCTTACTTGAAATAACCCCGCGTTCTTGCACGGCTCGGCTCGTTCTTCGAGCCCTGCTTCTCTCGGTAAACTAACAGTTTTTTTGTTTTTTGTTTTTGAAAAGCGAACTGGTGACAAAAATCCCTTATTTCACTTTGCCTATTTTCTATTCATGGAAAAATTAAAGGCAATATTTTCATTCCGTTGTTTTCCCGAAAGGAACTCTAGGTAATGGTATCCGTACGATTGTAGTTGAATATGAAAAGAAACAAAAGTTAAAAGCATCACCTATTCGCAGGGCGCACAACTATTCCACTTTCTCATGATAATGTTGTCATGCCACGACTATTTCATTTTCTTTTTAGTTAATTAATAATGTTCACAATAATGCTGAATACATATTATTGAGCAGAGTCCCGATATTTTCAAAAATTTAACCGGCTGAAAGTTTCATTAAAAGAATTTAAAACACAGGGAATGCTTTTCGTTTAATTTTTATAAAAGGGAGAAAAATGGAATTCAATGAAATACAATATATATATATATATATATATATATATATTATGCAAGAAACACGAGAATATTACATTGATAAAATGATTTTTCTATAGCAATAGCAGGTCTAAGAATAGGATTGCTTACCCGACCAAAAACCAAATTATAGCCCATCGTATCATGTATCTACAGACGCAGCCCATGCAAGGAAGCATTCAAGGCAACAATTTAGGTTACACCAACAAAAAGGTGCGAACAATAGTCTATAACCTGTGAAACAAACGTATTTATTTCATGACTACATACCACATTAGAGTACCAACAAATGATGGAACAAAACTTGTTATAAATGAGCATTTTCTTTTTCTTTTGCTTTTCATTTTACATTTGCTTGAATCAAGAAGTCTAGATTGCAATGGATAGTCGTTGCATTTTCTTCCTCAGAAATAAATTTAGCGCCCAAAAAGTTGGCATGCCTAATTGTTCCTGCCCACCATCATTGTCATATGTTTTTCAGAGTCGACCATAACGGCAGGAGTCGTCCACCATTCTGATTAGTCTTCACCGAGCCATTAGTTTCAATATCATATTTCTCAAAACCTAGGTCATTGCCTATGTACTGGCTGCAAAAGTCTTGTTCCATGCAGTCACTTGTCTCGTCAACTTTGTTCTGCTTCTTTGTTGCCATTTTCTTCGATCGACCAGTGCTGTTAAATTCAAAGTCCTCTAAATTCGGACTCGGATCTCCACCCCTTCTCTTCTTTATGGAATCAGTACTCTCATTGCTGCTGCTGTTGTTTTTGTCTTTCCTGTGGTGCTCTTTTATGACAGATTCAATGGTTTCGAGAATTCGATCTCCATACTTCATTACCTTAGCCCTTAATTTGGAAACATACAAGATGACCATTAACATGTCGGCTTGGCAAGCGGCACAAAAATTTATAGTATTAACCTGTAAACTTACTTGCCAATTCCATGTATCTCAAGCAGTTCTTCTTTTGTCCTGGGAAGCTTTTTGCACATCTGCTTAAGAGTATTATCCCTGTAAAAAGAAAAGGTATGCCAACATGTACCACAAAAAGGATAGAAAAGAAAAGAAACTGCGAATTGCAGCTTACACAAAAATGTGGTACGCCATGACCCCCTCTCCAGCTTCTTTAACAAGAGCACCTCGAAGCTTCCGCAAAGCTGGAAATAGTTTAGCTGAGAGATTCTTCGATAGCATAGCCACAAAGAACAAAGAAAAGGAAATTAATTTTATTGTTGAAGGTATTTCTATATTACAAGAATTTGTAAATCTAACACTCATGCTTTTGTCATACACAGATAAATGAGTGTTTACTTATTCCACACATGAAACATGCAAATACAAGAGACATGTGATTTAAGTACCACGTCTACTTCAGACTGAGGTTGAGCAGAAATGTTAGGACTCAGATTCTCGTGGAGCAATGAGCCCTTGGCTGGAGTAATGTCAACTATACTCTTTTTAAGAACTTTTACAGAAGAAGGGAACCTACAAGATAAATGAATAAAAATCCCGCGTCAATTGCAGTAGTGCATGTAGGTGAGCCAAGAGTAGTGCAGTGGATGGACAAAAAAAAATGATCAAGACAAGAAAATGCGAATTTATCTAGTAGAGAGAAGCTTCTGCTATAAACAGAATATACACCTTGCTGAAGCACTCTACAGAAGTTGTCAAACTCTAAAGTTTCACCAACTAACCAAAAATAACATATTCAACAATAGTACATGCTGAGAGAACCATAACGAATTTGTAGAAAAATATAGTTCTTTTAATAGGGAAAAAAATCATTAAAAAGGTGACAGATAACAGCTATATAACTTGGTAACTTTGACCACATGTCCCAGTAAGAGAAGCCAAGGAAATTTCATTGAAAAGGTAACCTGGATAACAACTTTATAACTTGGTAACTTTGACCACAGGTCCTACTAAGAGAAGCCAAGAAATTCAATTATTGAGTCAACTTGTATACTGGAATTAGTTGAGTTTGGTGCAGAGATTGCTAAAAAATACAATCCAGCTGTTTCAGCTCCCCCCCATTAATAAAGTTTGAATAACAAACAACATAAAATATATCTTTGGTTGGACGGAACAGGATCATATCCAAGTTATATATTGAATAACTTCTATGAATTAGCAGTGTGATGCTGTTTAATAACTCATAAAAGCAAAAAGAACAAAAAGTACACATTCTTAAACTATGTTAGCACTTTGCCCCAGGTGAGAGTCATCAGGCATGGATTTTGTTGGTAAGTAAAGTGTAGACATAATGAATGTGCATTGCTGATTCAGAGATTTTATCTTCGACATGTCAATGTAATATTGATTCAAAACAACCAAAAGGAGTACCAATTTTGAAGTTTGAGAAAGAAAGCAGGCAGTAGAGTCAACCTTAATACAATTGTCCTCCTACCAGAGCAGAGATCATATGCTTTGGACTGGTTCACCTGTCAGCAAATGTGAACCGTCATCATGGATAAGTGATGATAAAAGGACACAAGAAGAACCAATTTCTTGGGGCCCGTTTGTTTCATATACTCAAAAACTCAAATCATTGATTCTGCTACAGTATTTTCCTCTCACAAAAACTTTGAATTCCAAACGTCAGAATCAAGAATCATGGTTTGAGTATATCTTCCAAACAAGCCCTTGATCTTTCAGACATTATATATGAAGAAAAGGATTTCCTTCAAGTACCTTTAGTACTGAGGATACAGATCCATAAACATCACTTTTCCTTACTTCCTCCACAAGAATATCCTCAGTAACAAGATAACGCAAAATACGGGAAGCTTCTCCCTTGGCTAGATGTTTTCCAGCCCCATGGAGTCTTATAATTTCATGTTTATGTTTCTTGACCTATTTTTGACATTACAGATATACAATTAAGACTAAAAAATTAATGACAGTACACCGAAAGCATCATACATTTCTTACAAGAACTCACAATTTGGCTCAAGGAGCCCCTGTAGACTTCCAAAATATGAGATGATGAATGCTGCCCCCCTGTTAACTTCACTAGTTCAACCTATGAGAACAACACGTGAAAAAGTAGCCAATATAAGATACAAGAAATATGATATGTTAATTCGAAGCAACAGTAATCACTACAAACAAATATGACATCTTAAAAAGTAAACCAACAAGGTCACAAACCAAATGCTTTGCCATCTCAGTGACATCCTTGTCAACAAAGCTTTTGACTTTCAAACAATTATCACAAGTTTTTTTGCAGGCTGCAGAATCAAACTTCTCCCCAAAATGGATAAGTTGTAGAAGACGTCGACAATCAACATCATTTTCACAGTAACTGACCTGAAATAGGTCATATTACTTTATTTAGAACATTTTGATCTAAACATAAAGTGAATGTAACAGGATGGAATGGCAAAAAGTATAACTTGAAACCTCCATCAATTACCATTCTTAAAAGATTTTCAGTATTAGTTTCTAGTATTCCTCCCGAGTTCATTGCATTAACACCATTTTTCCGAGATGTGAAAGGACTTTGCTCTATGACACCTTGGCTAATCATATGTTTGACTCGTATCTGCAAGATAAAATGCAAACAGAAATAATTATAAATATAAAAAACAAAAGAAAAAGATGCCAGTCTTGAAATCTTAGCAATCTGCAACTTATTCTTTTTTTTTCCCCGGAGGAATACTGCAACTTATCTAGTGTACAGTAGAGTAACCAATATGTATACACGTAGTAATTTCATGAGAACAACTTACAAAGTCACTGTAACTGTAATACAACACACAAGATGAACGCTGACCATCTCTACCAGCTCGACCACACTCCTGATCAATAGCGGTCCAATTAGCTAACAAAATACATACATGGTCCTCTCTTAACTAAAACCAAACAGTAAGCTAATAAAGTCAATGATAAAATTAAAAAATGAAAATAGACAGTTTAAATTTCAAATTTCAAACAACTATAATTCAATCTAAAGTGTATCAACTAATTTTTGTTTCAGTACCTGATGATATCCTTCAATAGATTTTGGGAGAGAATGGTGAATTACAAAGCGAACATCTGGTTTATTGATACCTGGAAGTCTTAATGTTAGTCAATGGTCGAGTTTAATTAATCAAAACTGCAATCAGCACGTACCCATTCCAAATGCCACTGTAGCACAAATTATGTTTATTTCGTCTTTGCTCCATTGATTTTGTACAAAGGCACGTTGAGAGAGTTCCATAGTACCATGGTAAAATGCAGCTTTATGCCCACATTCCTGCACAAGAATTAAATGAACTCTTAATGAAACATAACCCATTATGTTCAATGTCTAAGTGAAACAACAGATTGTTATCTACCCATGGCTTCATTTTCTATCTGTTAAAAGATTTAAATTCTGTAATTTTCAAGGTCCGCCTTGAATAATCCCTTACAGACAAAGGTTACTACAGGAAAAAGGTAAAATTCACACAAACTGACAGGATTTAACATATTATGAATGGAGCAATGATAAATAGATTTTCCACAAGGAGCATAAAACAAAGGAAGTAATCATTACAACAACAACAACAAACCTTAATCCCAACTTAATTGGGGTCGGCTATATGGATTTCACTTTTCCACACAGTTAAAGGAAGTAATCATTACAACAACAACAACAAACCTTAATCCCAACTTAATTGGGGTCGGCTATATGGATTTCACTTTTCCACACAGTTAAAGGAAGTAATCATTACGGGGAGTAAAATTTGTAAGTAATATGGCATCACATAATTGAATATTGAAATACATGGGAGCCCCTAATTCAAGATGGAAGTATTACACTTAAGTCACACCTGCAATTTTTCAGCAGCTTTTTCACAGTCCATTCTGGAAAGACAATAAATGATTCCACATTCATCATAATGGTTTTCTTTGATGAACTTGTCGATGTCATCCAAACACTTCTTAGTCTTTGGAATGACAGAATACCTGCGAAATACAAAATAAACTAACTGTTTTCAATTTTGAATGAGGGCTTAAATTAAACTATTCCTGCCACATTGAAAAGAATTTAACAGCATCCAATACTTGCCACAAGTTTGAACGGTTAAAACTTTGCCGGAAAACAATGCAGTTGACAAGACCAAGAGCTTGCACAACATCTTCCTTTACACTGGCTGTTGCAGTAGCAGTTAAAGCTAACACTGGTGTATTTGGGAACTTTTGTTTCAAGATACCAAGACCCTGACATTTTACAGTTTATATTGAGTATAAGAATTAACAGAGTGTGTATGTGTGTCTATGGAGAGAGAGAGAGAGAGCATAAATAAAAATTATTAGGAGGCCACAACCTGATAATCTGGTCTAAAATCATGCCCCCACTGACTCACACAATGAGCTTCATCGATAACAATCCTAGCAAGCAATTCACGAGAATGTAAACTCCCAAGGTGGCGCACAAGAACGTCACTTCTGCAGTTGGGAGAAAACTTTAATAATTATGCGTTATTCGTGCTTAAGCATTCGTTTCAATTTGCAATTACCTTGGCTGCTAACAAGGTTGTGTCTCATAATTGAGGTGAGAGGAACTGATAAAAGTTAAGATAAACCAATTTGTAAATTCTATGTTTAGTGGATATAGGGAAACTGGTTAAACTAAAACAATTTCAAGGTTGGGCATATGAAGAGTTTTAGGGACGACCTGCAAGTGCAATGCAACGAAGGCGTGGGATTTTTATTGATATATCCAAGGAAAAAACTAAGAAATGCCAAGAATTCTTTATTAATAATAGAAATTAATACAAAGGAAAGAGGACAAGAAGTCCCCAAGAAAGCTAATAAAAAAATAAAAAAAACTCAGAGAACAGAAAAACCTGAAGCTCATAACCTCTTATCAGCCCATCACATCTTTCCAATCCAAAACAATAAAAGAAAAGGAAAAATCTTTAATGGCTTTTTCAGTGAAGGCTCGCAAGGAAGCTGAGTATTTTCTTTTTCAAAGAGATTCAGTCTCCATCTAAAGTTCTACTATTTCTTTCCACTCAAATCGTCCATAGTTTTTTTTTTCTTTATAATAAACAAAGAAACGTTTATTGATCAAAAAAAAAAAAAAAGTTTTTTTAAAAAAAAAAAAAAAAAAAAAAAAAAACAACCACACAAAGTGACGAAGAAGGGAGATCCTCAAAAAGAGAAGGAAAAAAATTCGAAAACACCCTAGATAAAGCTAGTTAAAATGGAAACATACAAAAATCTCACAAAGATTCAAATCATCCCGCCAACTTAACTGTATTAAAGATAAAGTAAAATGCTTATACTCTTTGTCTTGAGACGCCAAAACCGAGGCCAAGAAAGAGCACAATTTTTTGACTTTTCCACATGGCTTTAGACATCTTATTAGAACGAAAAAATGGACAATTTACTATTGAGATTGCATGGATCTTTATCTCTTATTCTTAATAAATATCTTTTTGTTAGTGTAATTATTTGACTAAAAAAGTTATGAATCAAGAGTAAAAGGTAAAGATCTTGACCCATACACTTTCAAAGTATTCGTCAAGATTACCATATTAGAACCAAAACCAAGCTTATCCAACAATAAGGAATTGCATTATGCGGCGAAGGCTAAAGCTGGCCAGCCTGAAGCCCAGTTCTTTGACCCTAGGCCGAAGATCTAGGCCTGAAAGCCTAACTCAGTCGGGTTTTTAGAAAACTGCTTTAGATTCATCCTTATAAAAATGCGGGCTTTCCTGGCTGGACTAGGCCAGCACATGGTCATAAAGGCTGGCCCAGCCCACCCCAAAAAAAAAGAATATGGGCCGGGCCAGTTTCACACTTTGGGCGTCCCAAATTGACAGAGGCCCACAAAAAACAGGCTTCTTTCAAAAGATTGTTTCAAAAGTTTCTAGCCACTTTGCCGTTGCAGAAACAAATGGCCAACTATCAATTCACATTCTACCTTCTGCATGAACACTGAGAAGGAGATTATAAATTTGTAAATTTAGTGTCGTTATTTTAAAGTAAAAAAAACCTTTGTTTCTTCAATTGCTTTCGGTAACTAATAAGTGATACTGAAGTGGATTGCCACTGAGGTACGGCATACGATTCAATTAAACAGTGTAAGCCAGAATGCTACAATCGAAAGAATACATTTTTATTTGAAAAAAAAAAAAACACTTACTTGGCAACTTTCTCAGGCGTGACATATAACAGCTTGTATTTACAATAATCAGAAGCAAGTTCTCTAAAGATCTCTTGTTGTTCTGTCCATTCCATGTTGGCACTCAAGTATGCAGCAGGTATATTTGCCTAGAAAACGCTCAGAAAGGAAGTCATAAATGAATGTTTATCACATAAGACGACGTGAAATAAGATAAGTTGAAACCCCACTGAAAACTAGACATATCACTGATGAAGACTACCTGTAATAAATGCATTATTTGATCTTGAATGAGTGAGACCAGTGGACAAACTACCAATGTTATCCCTGGACATATAAGAGCGGGGAGCTGCAAAGATAGCAGCTCTAAAATATTCATTTCTTACTGTCAACATAGAATGAATTCTTGAAGAAAAAGATAAGTTAGAAGCATATCTCCTTGGTTAAAAAAAAAAAATATTGCATCATAAGCTGAACCAATGAACTATGCATTACCAAACAAGTGTGGCACAAATTTCAAATGACAAAACAATAGCCAACGAGTGAAAGGACCATAACAAATAAGGACTTTAAGAAAAAAATTACCTGATATGTCAAGCTTTTACCCCCTCCAGTCGGCATTAGAACAAAAACATCATAGCCACTCATTGTAGCATTAATTACCTCCCTTTGGTTGGGGCGGAAGGAGTGATTTCCAAACACTTTCTTGTTATTGGCCTGAAATTGGTTGGCTTGCATCAGACAATAATCACAGCGAAAAAAATTAATGCAAATATCAAAATCGAGAATAATGCAGCTGAGCACCTCCAATTTCTTTGTCCACGAGAAATTCCCACTACTCCACTTTTTGTCATTAGAACCTTCAATATAGCTAACTTCAGAAAACTTTGGAATGTATGGTTCCCTATCTATGGAAGAGAATGAAATTGATGATGGATTATGACTCTCATACAGTCCCGGCTCATTACGTAGATGAACCTGGGCATTAAATCTCGAGGGTTCAGTCCAGGAGGATCCTGCTTGAGGTGCTTCATACTGGAATGATCTGGGAGTAGTCGATGTAGAAAAATGTGATTTTTGTCTTTCTTCAACTACAGAATTGGGGCGAAGATATCTCTCAAGCTGCTGAATTTGTTTATTTAGCTCCAACCTAAGGATGGAAATGTTTACTCAACTCATATCTCCAATTACATGATCAGAGAGTATTTTCCAACAATAATAGCAATGAACAATACAAGCAATAGGACTTGATCCATAAAGATTCCATTATTCCATCAATTTTTTCCATTCACTTGTTTATTCCTTGTATTTGGTTTTGAATTTAGCAACCAAATATTGGTTTTGAATTTAGCAACCAAATACACTGGTGAAGAAGGATGGATACAAACCTGTTCTGGCGAAGCTTCTCCATGTGTGCCGGACTTAGGTCATTAAAATTATCAATGAGTTCATTTGATATGGTTATAAGCATATCTTTCATTTCCTGCAAATGACATGCAGCTTCTGGGCAAGTCCCTAGCTGTATGAAAATTCACGAATTAGGTACGTCAAGTTAGCTAAAGATGAGATGGCAATAGTGCAGATAATACATATTACCTTAAAACCATGACTGCAAATTGAGCACAATTCTGGTGGCAAACAAGACTCGTGTCCCATAAAATTACTCTTATCTATAGATGGAGTAATGGGAGGAAGCTTTGACATTGATGGCTGAGGTGTGCAGGTTGATTGATATTGTTCCACTATTTGGTCCACATCAATATTCTGCAGCCCAAATTAAATAAATGTGACAGATGAATGATAACACTTATGTGAGGAAGTAGTAATAGTAGCAGTAGGAGGAGTAATAGTAACGGCAATAACAGCATCATGACTGACTTTCACAACTCTAACATCACAACATGTTAATGCGAGAAATGTCACAAGTACTTGGTATTAAAAGTTTATCTCCTGCTATAATGTCGTATTCTACTGGGTTACAGCACTGATAGCATAACATTGGCAAGAACCATTACAAATTGAGATCACACGAGTAATTTAAAAAAAAATTAAGAAGATTAGACGCTTTACTTCTTTACAACTCTAATATATAGTGTAGGCAAATGATTTTGTTTTCAATAAAAAGTAAAAATGAGCTTGTTTTGAGAATCATTCTGGGACCAATTTTGAAATTGCGTTTGATTGGTTTTTTAAGAGATTGTTTTGAATATAATAAAAAAGTTAAATCATGTTTATTAATTAATATATTATAATATTGTTGATAAGTACTCAAATATGAAAACGGAAAAGTGAAAACAACATTCAATTGTTTTCTAATTCCTTCACAAAAACCATTCTCACTATTTTCGTTTTCATTTTCACTTTCAAAACATCTGCTAAACAAACGTCGTTTCGTTTTCATTTTCATTTTTGGCTTCTCAAAATACGTAAAAACCGTTTTCAAAAATGGTTCCAAACACGCACAATAAGTTGAGATACATGAATACTTTAAAAGAATAAAAAGATTTGACAATGAAATAAAAGAGCCTAAACACACCCAAAACTTAAACTACTTAGTTACGTAATTAGACCAACCAATTGTAATTCTTTTATTTTTCCTTGAAACACCATGGGGCATATGGCTCCCACTATATTAAGAAGAGATGAAACAGCGAGGATTTGAATCTTGGATCGCACACTCACATACCCAACCACTTGAGCTAGCCTCAAATAGCTAATTGCAATTCTTTTTTAATCCCACAGGTATAATAAATGTATGATTTACCCTTAACACTTGTCAAAAAGAAATTACCTCAAGTATCTCGTCGTCATCCATGTCACTGACCAAACCTGTTCCAGATTGTTTTATTTGGCTGGTATGAACATTATAATTGCTGACAGATCCAGCTAAAACTTGATGATGAGAATTGTAGACCATTGATGCTCTGATCTGACTCTGCCCTCCAACACTTTTTCCTGCTTCTGCACATTTAGCATTACTTGATGGGAAATAACGGCTTGTGTGACTTGTAGATTCACTAACACTGGCATTCGCTGAACCAAAATATTGGTGTGTTTGGTTACGTCCAGAACCTCTATCAATGTCATTTGAACATTGCAAGGTAGTTTTACAAACATCCGGAGAGTTTTCAGTGTTCAAATTCTTTACGTGTATGGTTTTCCCAGGTTTAACATAACTCCTGCAAGAAATCTGCATGCTGGAAAGAACATGCCAAGCCTGCCAAATTTGCATTAATAAGCTGCAGTGCTGAAACAGGGCTGAGTTTAACTTTAAGGGGGAAAAAACAGAGAAGACTTAAGAGCTTGTAAAAATAATAATAATAATAATAATAATAAGAGCAAAATGACACAAATTACTTCTCATTAAAACATCTGTTTCTTTTAAAAAAAAAAAATCCCATTGAAAAGGAAAGAACAAAAACAAAAAAGTAACAATGAGGGCAACAACTCTGACTTTCAGAACGAGTGAAAATTGAAAACAATAATATCACAACCAATAATTTAACTAAATACCAACTGATTGTTGTTTTTCTAAAGTTTTCCTGATCTTGCTCCCGAACAAATGCAACCCAATTTATCTCATCCTTCACTGATAGTAAAATAACTAGAACTCATTGAATACATAACTTAAAATGGTAATCCAAGAAATCATAGTTAACATCGAACTAATCCACTTCCCAAAAAAAAAAAATCAAACTACTCCAGGAATGCAAGCAGAACGTTCTATACCTTTTCAAGTTGTGATCGTTGAATACTCTGACTTTGACAGGCTGCAAAACTGAAAACACACAAATGGGGTATTTATGAGAGTGAAAACAGAAGCACATAGTTCGAACTTGTTGAAAGATTTGTGGATCTGGTGCAATTAGTTAGGATTTTTACCTTGTTTAGGTTGTTGACTATTTTTTTAATTTAAATCAGTACAGCTATACATGTTGTCATTTAATTTTGGAATAGGTGTACATGTTCTTTCCTAAAATAGCTATAGAATTGTATCTACATATTGCCTGTACCGTGTAACCTAAAGTGGTGGAATAAGAATTAGAAAAATCAGTTCCCATTTCAATTTCGTGTTCACAACTTTCAAAAATGAATAAACTTGTTACACCTTCAGCATCAGATCATAGTTCGATAGATGTACATATATCCACAAATTATCAACTAAAGGAAACTTTTAATTATAAATTACTGCCGACAGAAGGGAATAGCAAGGCAATTGAGTTTCAAACGGTGATCAATTCATAAATTGAAACTTGAAATAAATGGGAAATTTTTTAAGGCCTCTAAGCATACAAAATCCACCTAAACACCCAGCATCAAATTCCATCCTCTATTAAAGCCTTTCTTTAAAGACTATCTTCAAAACTAATTTTGTTGCTTTCCAGCCACAGCACCAAAGCTTCCGCCAAAACCCCGGAAACTAAAACTTCTTAGCCCCCGTTTGTTTTATGGGTTCGAATTGCTGTCAATGTTTTCTCACACAAAATTTAAATTTTTGTTCAAATCTATGAACCAAACGGGCCCTTAACATCAACTAGATAATGGAGGACTAGTATTAACACAAAAAAATCAAGTTCTCATCTTGTAGATAATCTTTTTGAACGAGAAAGTAAAAGTAGAAAAATAAAAACACCATTTGAGGACGAATCAAACCTTGTAGCCATTGGGTCTTGGTCTGCGATTGGAGGCTTTTGAGTTTGTAAAGAGAAAAGGAAATTGGAACTTAGAAACTTCTTTTGGTTTATGAAATGTTCATGTGCCTCAAGATGTTGCGACAAATTCACTTTTGGAATCTGCACAGTTTCCACACCTTCTCTTCTCCAACTGCTTCTTTCACACATTATAATAAGCCCACCAAAAAAAAAACCCCTCAAAATTAAAATAAAATCAAAAAAGAAACATATATACCCAATGCATAGAAGATTGTTCTCGAAAATTTAAACAATGATTAATAGCAATAATGACAATATATTGTCATCACCAATCGAAATTAAAAAAAAAAACTAAAAATTAGAAAAAAATGGAAGAAAAGAGAGTTGTGGAATCATTACTCTTGCACCATCACTGAATCAGTGATTCGTTGATTACTCCGCTGCGCCTAAACTGTTTCCTTCAAAAAGCATCACAAAAATTTGTACCAAAAATGAATATTGGAACAAAAATTCGAACTTGTTTATGAACCAAACAATGTGAGAAAGATGAAGCAATGCACCTTCCAAATGCGACGCGACACATATTTCAAATTCGCTTAAAGCAAATGATTCGAAGTACATTCACAAACCCTAGAAGCGAAATGATCATTTCTGGTTCTGAGCTTTTAAATAATCTGGTTTCGCCCGTGGTCGGAGCGACGAGCCACCGGGAGGGAGGGAGAGGGCGGACAGCGACTGAAAAATAGAGAGAGAAAGAGAGTGGAGACAGAGAGAGAGAGAGGGGGAGAGATGTCTTTAAAACAGAGCGGCAGAGAGCGATATTGGAAATGGCGGGACTTTTCATTTTCATTTTCATTTTTTGTTTTGTTTTTTTTTTTTTTGGAATTGTAAACTCACTGCGTACGGAAACGTATCCTGTGACTGTGCGCTTATTGCGTGTCAGATGCTAGAAATATGGGAACAAAATACAGATATTATAACATAACGATACAATTATGTGTCCGTTTAGTTTAATTTACTGATTTAATTTTTAATTCGAATTAAAATGTAATTTTATATAAAAAAAATTTTATTGTAATAAAAAAATTAAATATGATTATTTTTAAAATTTTTTTACTGTTATAAAACTCAAATTCTAAACTCAAATTGACGAAATGAACAAAACTTATATAACAATTAGGGCTAATTGCATTGTTGCCTTTCGAATTTTAGGTCATTGTTTATCTGTATTCCGATCTTTAGAAGTCTTGTACATTTTTTTTGTGTTAAATCATTTATGAAAATTGACACGCAACGTGAAGTCGTAACAAAAGTGAGTGAATTGAGTGTATAATTACAAAAGTTGCTCCCTAAAATAAGGGTAAATATAATTAAGGGTGTTTGTTTTATAATTCAAGTTAAAAACTTGAATTGTATTTATAAGAAAAAAATGTTATAATAAAAAGTGAAATTTAAATTTTTTTTTAAGAAAATACTGTAAAAATAAAATTTAAATTTTAACTTAAGTTACGAAACAAGTAACAGCCAACAATAACAATAGAAAACAATAGAAGTAAGAAGTTTTTTTGGTTCATCAATTACAGCCAACAGTGAATATTAACCAAAAATCAAGCATCCAACGTCTAAAAAGAAATACTAAAAACCACTAATATTCATCCACAACTTACAATTAAATTAATACTAATCGTGATTAAGGATTTTAGTCTCTTATGAGGATCCTTCACCGATGTCAATTTCTCGCTTTCTTGTGCTGTAGTTGAGTATGCGGTAATTTTAGGGTTTTGCATAAATTTGAGGGAAAAATATAGGGGCTTAAAAGAGTAAAAAAGGAGAAAAAAAACTCAATAATGTGTTTATTAGTGTAATTATTAAAATGCCCTCAAAATTGTCATCACGCGCGAGTATGAGTGTTCGTGGTCGGTTTGAGCAGTTTTTTTAAAAATCATCAACCAAATCAAAAATATTTTTTCCTTTTAGGCCGTTTGATATTTTAACAAAAATTAAATTGAACCAAATCACTCATAAGCAGTTTGGTTTAGGCGGTTTAAGTTTAAGACTAAAAAGTTTTAACAATTCATAAAAATTATAAAATTGTTAATCAATAAAAATAAAAATAAGATTTAAGTTTGCAATATAACTAAAAAATAACAAATGTCTAAAAGTTCACCATTTGAAGTTTTAATACAAACCAATAAAAATATGATAATGTGTATTTTATAAGTGTAGAACTTTCATTATGACCAATAAAAACTAAAATAAACATAAAAAAACATTTTAAAATTTTAAAAATGATATATGAATATTTTTGGGTAGATTATTAGGCGGTTTGAGGAGTCCGAATCACAACCTAAATTACTCAAAAAATTAGATTAAAAACCCGACTAAACCACCCAATAATTCAAAAATAATTAACAATTTGGTTTGGTTTGGTTTAAATTTAGTGGTTTTCGCGGTTTGACGGATTTTTTGAACACCCTTACGTGCGAGTCACCTATCAATTTCCGTAAACAATTTAACTGAAGGGGAAATTCTACAAGACTTTTGAAGTTCGAGGAATGTATATTACAGATTGAAATTTGAGGGCATTTTGTGACACAACCTATAATTTAATGGCAGCTCTATTATTTGTCTCAATAAAATATGTTCATAAGAAAAATTATAGCATTACTCTTTATATTACTCTATGCATTTATAGTTTAACATGTGGACTTTTTTAACATGATATATTATTATTTAAATAGAAAATAAAACAGTGGAGTCTAATGTCAAACAATAGATGCATGGGGTGACAAATTTTTTTTTAAAAGTGACAATGTTATTTGAAAAATGCTCAAGAACACTACTAGTGTTAAGCAAAACTATCTAATAGCGGGACTCACATTCTATTAATTACACTACTCATGCATAATAACATTATTCATGTTTCTTTTTCTTTCTCACCGAAGTATAGGAGTGTTCATCGAATCCACCAATATGCATAATCTAATCCAATTCATTGGATTTAAAAATTTTAAATTAGTAACGGATTGACATTTTCTCAATCTGCAATAATAGATTGGATTGCATATTGCATATTGAACAATGCTCAATCTCCATAATCCAATCATCCGAACTCTATATTATATATATATATATTTTAAATAACATATGTAACGTATTTTTTCAATTATATAATACATATGTATAATTTAAGTATATTGTATAATTTAAAGACTTTACTTTTTGAAGGTTGTTTGCTATTATGGATTTAGATTTTACATTTCAATGTTCAAAACATAATTAGTCCATGAATTCATATAATTTATTTTACAATAATCGGATCAACGAACACCCGTACTGCCAAGTGCTCTCATTGAATGTCGTTCCGGCGTCGTGACTCGTGATTCAAATAGTAATTTGATGTCGTCTTGTACGGACGACTGTTGTTTCGGCTTTAACCAATCCGAGCCCGAACCGCCTACATTGCCTATCAAGTGTGAACAGAACAACCGATATTGAATCAAACCTTAAACCCCACGAATTTCTAGGTTTCATTTTTTTGTTGATGGCGTATGCCCAGGTCGTTCTTTCCAGCTCCTACGACAGCCTCTCCTTCAACAAAGTAGGTTTCTCTCCTAACCTTCCTACTGTTTGTTTCCTAGAAAGAAAGTCTTTTGAGTTTTGATTGTTGACAACAAAATGTATGGAGTAATGTGATTAAAAGAAAATCCCAGTATATAACTGTTTGGATTTTCATTTGGGTGTGTGTTTTACTGTTGCACTTCCCTGTTTGGCTGTGGAGAAAATGTAAGAAAATGAAGTATATTCTAATTTCCAACGAGAAATTTACACTGTAGGACTTCGATTTGATGAAGTTGAAAGGAAAACGAGTAAGAGAAAGTAATGCTGACAAAGTATGAATTTTGACTTTGATTATTGGTAGCAAAATATGTGGATGACAGTGTCTGTTTCCTTTTTTAATTTTAACAAAATTGAAAAGCAAAGGAAAAAAATAATCTCCGTTTTTTTTTTTTTTTTTTAATTACTCATTTTGCCAATTAAACCATGTCAGGTAGGGTTCCGACAACCAAAGGGCTTGAGTTCTTTTCTGGTAAATTCGAGAATTAACGAAGATAAGCAAATTCATACTAGTATGGAGATGCAGAGAGATAACGGTTCAATAACCAAGGACCATTCCAGGTTAAAAGTTCCGCATGTGTTGACTGTTGCCGGCTCGGATTCAGGCGCTGGTGCCGGAATCCAAGCAGACCTGAAGGCTTGTGCTGCGCGCGGGGTTTACTGTTCCACAGTTATAACTGCTGTTACTGCACAAAACACTGTTGGTGTTCAGGTCGTGGCTGCTTGTTGCTTTACTCAGCTTTCTCTGTGTTTGGCATGTGAGAAAACTGAAAGAGAAAATCTGAAGAGAAAATAAGTTTGCAGTGTTTGTTTATATCTCGTTTTTAATATTTTGTTTTGTTTATTGGCAGGGAGGAAACATTGTGCCTGAGGATTTTGTAGCAAAGCAGTTGAGGTCTGTGCTATCTGATATGCAAGTTGATGTGGTAAGTTGACTTTGGTGATTGACATGGATATTACTTTAGACTGGTTCTAGTTGTTTGTCATGCATGGATATTGTGGAATCTTGGTTATATGTTTTGTTTTTAAAGTCAAATTTTTAGATATCGTTATTTTTGAATCGGAACTATTGCTCGACCTGAAAAAGGACCATGTCATTATTGGTCATTAGTTTTATCCTTGAAAAGCGACTGCTCTTCCCAGATATCATTATCAATGTTTTATCAATAAATAATATTATTATATCTATAATTTTGATCTTAAAGTTAAACTCTTAGCTACAGTATAGTATTTGTATAATTAGAGTATGCAGTCCTTGTGATGTTGGGCTATGTGAAGAGCCATCCTTTTTGGCTAATCCCATTTCTTATTTGTTATTTGTGGTTTAAAAAATGATGAAACAGTTTGCTGCCTAGTTGTAACTCTATATACAATCAATTTCCTAATAATGAGTACTAACACATGGCAACCTAATGCCCTTCTAAATGGATCACAAAAGAAAGTAAATGTTCTCTCCAAGAGTAGTCGTTTAATCTTCCATATCATCCTTCTCTATTCAGATTTCAGGTCATTTTAAGGAAATAGATCTGTCTAGGTCACAAGTAATAGGAAAAACAAAAATGCAAGTCTACAGTAATTTATCTGAGTATTTGGCAGGTAAAGGCCCTATGCTCTTAGCATCTATTACAATTTTAACTCGTCCCTTCGGCTAATAATTCATCCTTGTATGTTATAAACAGAACCTGAAGTTAATTTTGAAAGAATTTCTGTTTAGTAGGGCGAGGGGAAAACCAAAGCTTAAATTAAATTGGCACACAATTAATTCATATTGGATTTAACAAGCATATGTGTTGTCTTGGATTTTTAAATCCTCCTCCTCTTCTTCTTCTTCTTTGCCATCGCTGTCGTCATTGTCACCGCCATCATCATCATCATCATCCGTTTTATTCCAGAAGCATATAGGTTGTCTTGATTTTTAAATCCTTCTTCTTCTTCTTTTTCGCCGTCATCGTCATCATCATCATCATCATCATCATCTTTTTCTTATAGAATGTTGGTGTTTTATTAGCAGTTGTGCAAATGGAACACTAATAATTTTTAAGCATATGTGTTGTCTTGGATTTTTAAATCCTCCTCCTCTTCTTCTTTGCCACCGTTGTCGTCATTGTCGCCTCCACCACCATCATCATCTGTTTTATTCCAGAAGCATATAGGTTGTTTTGATTTTTAAATCGTTTCATCTTCTTCTTCTTCGTCGTCGTCGTCATCTTCGTCATCATCTTTTTCTTATGGAATGTTGGTGTTTTATTAGCAGAGTGAGAATGGAACACTAATAATTATCAAAATGGAAATAACACTACTTAGCGATTCAGCGCGAAAAAATCTTTTAATAAGACCAGAGTGGGAGATAACAGTTCATGTTGACAAGTTGAAGATAAAGTAGCTCAACTTATATTTTTCATTATTTCACTTCGTTTTGGGCATCCACTGATACTTCTTTTAAACATTTTTCTGCGTTTTTGATCTTTTTAAGTTGGGAGGATGTTCTCAGTTAATTGGTTTATGCTTTTGTTGCTGAGAATACCTTATTCTCTTTTGGTTGTATATTGTATCAATTTGGATCAGTATATTTTATGTTTCTTGTTAAAAAAAATTACTTTCATCTGATAAAGGAAGTTAACTGATACAAAGCTATATGATGACTTTACTTTTGAGACCCATAATGTCAATCCTTCCAGATAGCGGTTGGTTTATGACATATAGTTTCAATTGGGTGTCTCTGTGTATGCGGTGTGCAGTGTGCAGTGTGTTTTGTGTTTGTTTTGGCGCCTGATGTGTGGAATAGAATCAGACATAGAATATGATGTTTCGTCTCTAGAGCGATTACTGTTATATTGTATGATTCAGGATGATATTATAGATTGTAAAGTGTGTGCTTCTTTCTGATGAAGAAGCAAATAGGATTACGAGTATCTAGTTAATAAGGTGTCATGTTGTGTATCAATTCATTGAGTTCTAAATTGTGTTAGCATGCTAGAAAAAGTTATTGCTGGAATCCTTAATACACCCTTACAGTTCGGTTCTTTGTTTAATCAGCATCCCTTCAATGCGGATTTATGATGCTATTGCCTCCTTGTCTTTCTTATTATCATTTCATGTTCACCGGAATTCACTTTAGCTGCATTTTGACGTATAATCAGGTGAAAACAGGCATGCTACCATCTACTGGTATAGTTAAGGTTCTTCGTCAAAGTCTTGCGGAGTTTCCCGTTCGAGGTATGCAGTGTTAAAAATCAAATGTGATGACCTTATTGTAATGCTACTAGCATTTAAATTAACTTGGTCTAATCATTGAAGACAGGTTTAGTGGTTGACCCTGTCATGGTATCTACAAGTGGAGATGTACTGGCTGGCCCCTCCATTCTTACTGTGTTCAGGTACGCTAGATCGTTCTGCTCTGCTGCAACGCTTTATGCCTTTGTTCATTCATTAGCTTAGGGGCTCACTTCTCAATCACCTCCTTCTACTATGAGAGAATCATTTTTCTTCCAATTGTGTAGTTTAAGTTGATGCGTTTTTTCTTCATGCTGCAGGTATTTTTTTTTTTATTAAGTATATCCTGCATGTATCTTAAATTGTTCTTAATATCTTCTACAGTGTTTTCTGTTTTTTATGTCTCGTTCAATCTGCATACTTCATTAGGATTTTTGTAACTCATTTCATCCTTCTATTTATTTCTGCTCGCAGAGAGGAGCTTCTTCCTATGGCTGACATTGTAACCCCAAATCTAAAGGAGGCGTCAGCTTTACTTGGTCTAAAACTGGAAACAGTTTCTCACATGCGTTCTGCTGCAAAGTTATTACATGATATGGGCCCACGGTTAGTGCTTAAAGAGGGTTTAATCTTAGTTCTCTGCTGATTACGTAACATTTTATATTTCTTGTGTCTCAAGGCATTGGATAAATTTATACTACAAAAAGTCATGACCAGAAAGAATGACTCTTTTTTCAAACATGTGTTTGTATGTTTATGGGTGTGAAATGAATGTTATTACATATATCCCTTTTTTTTTTTTAAATAAAAATCTTTTTCACCCCATATAGGGTCTCTTTTTTTTTTTTTTTACCCCATATAGTTGATTCACTCACATTTGGTGATAAATTTGTTATAACATGTACAAATAGCACAACAGTTTTACTAGCTGTACATGGTAAAATATGTGTTTTACTTCTCAAGTCACTACCCCTGCTCACTCAAAGCATCCGTAAATCCTTCATTTTGTTTTCTTTTGTTTGTCTTCTTGATTTGATATTGTATAAGATGTTGTAAACTCCCTTCATTAATTCATGGGCATTCAAGTCGTAAGATGTACGTTTGATACTTTAAATTATGACTATGACGGTATGACCACTGCATACGGGCTTTCTGTTAGATTTATGCTTTGAGTTTATGGATCTTGATCTTTTTGATGGATGTTTGGTAAAAGCATGTACTTTGGAATTTTTTATTCACATTGCTAAAAAGACAAAAAGATAAACAATAAAATTGTTATTTCCTCAGAGTCTGAATTTGTTCTAGACACGCTACTTACATAAGTTTGTGCAATCTAGGAATGTAGTTCTTTTCACATTCTTAAGGACTTATCTTCTACATGCCTAAGACCCTTTGGTATAATGGCGTGTGCAGGGGGTTGGGGAGGGTTTTGGGTAGGGGGTTGTGGGTTTGATTTCACTTGCAATCTTTATTTCTTATTTATAGAATGGTACGTGCTATGACAGAGCATGTATCGTGTGCTCTTTTTTTTTTTTTCCTTTAAAGGACTTATCTTCTACATATAATGAGTGAACCTTGTGTTGTTTGTGGAAAGGTTTCCAACAAACTGGTTTGGGAACAAACAAGGATAGGTGCAATAAAGATTAAAGAATATTGACACATATCATCTACTTGATTCTTTTTAGTATGCTACTTTTACATGATATATAAAATTCTGTGTTTTCTGTGTGTTTGCGGATGTTACTAGGTTCAGTTTCATTAAGGTCCTTGTTTTACTTAATTCATGGATTTTCAGGGGAAAAAAAAAGAAGAGTTTCTTCAATATCCAACATATTGTGTTAAAGAATAGCCGTTTGCCTTTTCAGAAACGTGCTTGTCAAAGGTGGTGACCTTCCTGATTCATCTGATGCTATTGATATCTTCTTTGACGGTATGTTTAAGAGTTCGATCCTAAGAAACAGTACCTTTCTTTACTTTGTGCTTTTAGCAAACTTTATTTTTGAAGGTGATTATTCTAGGTGACAACATCTTTGAGCTGCGCTCCTCCCGCATAAAAACCCGTAATTCACATGGTACTGGCTGCACTTTGGCATCATGCATCGCAGCTGAGCTGGCTAAAGGTTCTTCAATGCTCCAAGCTGTAAAGGTAATTGCATACAATTCAAACGAAACAATGTTTGTTGTTCCTTTATCTACTAAAATTTGGTTCTGGTTCCTTCTTAAAAACATGGCTGAGCATGTTTGTACTAAATACAAGCAAAAAATATGCTTTTTCCGGGGTAATTTAAATCTAGGATGAGTAAAAGGACGTGCATTTCTTGTCTTGAGATGCCTTTGTGATGTAGAACGAGTGGAAAGAAGAGAATTGAGAAAGAGAGAGAGAGACTTAGAGATAGATTAGAGGAGAACTAAGAATAAACTGAGAGAAGAAGAAGAACTCGAAAGGGAGGAAATTCACTGAAATTAGTCATTCATCAAAGTAGTCTGAATTGTCTATAACAAGGTAGCCAATTTATAGGCAAAACCAAAACCAGAAACTAATTAAATGCATAAAATCAAAAAAAAAAAAGAAATCAAATAAAAATCAATCCTAATCAATCTAATTTATTTTCCATATTTATCTTCTTTAAAGTCAACTTCTTATTCTTCATCACTCTGATAAAGGCTGTTGGAAAAGTTAAATTATAAGCTTATAAACTCAGGATTTATTTATCTAAAACTATGTTGCTAATTCTCCCTCCCTCCCTCATGAAAATCTCAATCTCAATTTTACAGCATCACAAAATTAGTTCTAATTTGTCCGAATTTTGGCAGGCAGCTAAATGCTTTGTTGAGTCTGCCTTAGGTTATAGCAGGGACATTGTCATTGGAAACGGTCCCCAGGGCCCCTTCGACCACCTCCTGAGGCTTAAGAGAAACATCCACCATTCTTCTGGAAAGCATGGCTTTGATCCAAGTGATTTGTTCTTGTATGCTGTTACCGATTCACGAATGAATAAAAGATGGGGACGTTCTATTTCAGAAGCTGTTAAGGCTGCCATAGAAGGAGGTGCTACAATTATTCAACTCAGGTTTGTTGTTATTAAACTGCTTTGATCGTTCTTACACAGGCTGGCGTCTTTACTCCTAGTGAGCTTGTTAGAAATCACTATTCACTCATTTGCCTATTATACTACATGTTATGCAAGTAATATCAAATGCATGTTCAATACGGAAATAAATAAATAAGTAAATAAATAAATGCATGTTCTAAATCCTAACTGAGATTCCATAGGCTTTGTCACTTTTCATTTCTAACCATATATCTTAATTCTTATGTACGGTGCTTATTATGTCCTTGTGTTATATTATTCTAACGTTAATAAACCTTACCATTTCTATTTAGTTCAAGGATATGCCTTTCAGTTCCTTTTTCTTGAAACTTTGTTGAGTCTGCCATAGTTTATGGATATTTACACCTTCAATTTTCTTTTTCTTGACATTCTTTTATTGCATCTCTGTTTAAACTTACAACCCTGTCCTTTTTTTTTTTTTGATAAGAAACAAGAATTTATTGAATAATAAAAAGATGAAAAGAGTACAACGCAGGGGACAAGACGTCCACCAACAACTAGGATAACTTACAACCCTGTCCTATATGTATAGAGATCGTCTTTTACCCTAAGAAGAAAATTGAGGCCATTCCTTGGAACCACTTGTCATTAGTTTTAAAAATTTCAGATATGTGTTTGCGAGCTTTCAATTTATCCATGGTTTTACTACTTGGGTCAACTTGTTATCAACTCACAAGCACCTGTACACACTACAAACATTCTCTTTACACCGGTGGCCTGCTACCATGGGTGCAAATCAACATAATTTTGATGGTTTTTGGTGCACTTTTTTATTTTGGTTTACAGGGAAAAGGACATTGAAACACGTGATTTTCTGGAAGCCGCCAAATCATGTCTCGAAATATGCCGTTCGCGTGGGGTTCCTTTACTAATAAATGATCGCGTCGATGTTGCTCTTGCTTGTGATGCCGATGGGGTGCATGTTGGTCAGTCTGACATGCCTGCTCGTGCCGCCCGCTCTCTCCTTGGCCCTGAAAAGATAATTGGTGTGTCGTGCAAGACGCCGGAGCAAGCTGAACAGGCATGGATCAATGGTGCTAATTACATAGGCTGCGGCGGTGTATATCCAACTAACACAAAGGCGACCAATCTCACTATTGGGTTGGACGGGCTGAAAGCTGTTTGTTTGGCTTCTAAGTTACCTGTTGTTGCAATTGGCGGTATCAGTGCTTCGAATGCAGGCTCGGTTATGGGAATTAACGTTCCGAACCTGAAGGGTGTCGCTGTTGTGTCAACTTTGTTTGACAGGGAATGTGTTTTAACGGAGACTGGGAATCTTCATTCAGTACTAACAGAGGTAACGTCAAGAGTAAGTTGAAAATCTTTTCTCAGAACATCTCTAGTGTGCAAAAAAGCCAATGCCATGTTCGACACAAAAAGGCATGAAAAATAATATCTGTTTGTTGAAATAATATTACTTCAAATGTTGTATTTGCTTTTGTCATAAATTTTGAGCTTTAGAGTTATAAAAAGGAAATTTTTTTTATTTTTTTATTTTTAACGTATTGTAAAGTAGTGACATTGTAATTCTTATTATATTTCATTTATTTTGAAGCTGGGTGGGATTTGAACTCTACCACTGACAGGTTTCTTATTATATTTCATTTATTTTGAAGCTGGGTGGGATTTGAACTTTACCACTGACAGGTTATACTTTGAGGAATGCAATAAAAACATTTAAGAAGTTTGTACATGTCATGATGTCACCTATATATATATATATATATATCTATATTTCTCTCTTTAATGTATTCGGCATTAACTTTTTTTACTAAAATTACCATAAATGCTATAACGTATGTTGTCAGGTTATACTTGCAACCATCGGTTGTACATATGAAAAATTATACTAATAAGTCAATGAACCAACCAAATGTTAAAATTTGACATATACTATAGTTGGTGCCTATATATCAAGGTTTCATTTGGTTCGCAGGAAAGAATGAATTAGATTTGAACCGTATGGATTGCAAAATTTGAAAAGTTATTTAAATTGCAATCTGAACTAATGTTCAGATATGTGCGTATTTGAAATGGGAATAAAATTTGAATATGTATATCCAAATGATAAATTTTAGCTTTCACATACAAATTTGCAATTGGATCGGTGATCTCATAAAAATAAGATTTTTCCCGTAGAGGCATTATGGTTATTGAGTTGTCTTTTGTTGTCGTTTCTATTTTTTTTTTAATTTTATTTTATCGCGTTTTGTCTTTCAAACTACTTCATTGTAGAGCATTAGCACCCAAAAGGTTGCCATCTTTTTTTTTTTTTTAGTTCAAACATGATCAATAAGAGGTTAAGAACTTGAGAGTTCACAATTCCTAGTTTTTTTTTTTTCTCATGATATTGACAATTAGAGAAAAACTATAGGAAATTGGCAAAAAATATTGGACGAAAAGCTTATGGATAATTATGGTGATAGATGCCGAGGACAAACGAAAGTTAAGGCCTGAGTGAGACAGAGAAGAAATAATAATGATTTTCAGGAGAACAATGTTTTCTGGAAAAATAATGAATTTACTTGAGCGAAATCAACAAATGTAGACAACCCTCTGGTTTGTTCCCGACATTTTCTTTTTAAGATAGTCCTTTGCATAAATTAAAGATTCTGCTGCAGATTTTGAACATATTGAAGATTTTACGAGATCGTAAGGATCCAATCCATGTTCGTTTGTTTTCTGTATTCATGTCTGATTCTAAATCATGATTCATAATTATCTACAGTATTTTTTTTCTCATAAAAAATACACGTAAAACGAAAATAATTTTAAATTATTATTCAGAATACATGAACCAAACATTACTTATTGAAAAAAAATATATAAAAAGAAGAAAGAAGTGGATTAGCTGCTAATTAAATGGGAGGTAAATGGAGAGTTGTATTTCATTATTGTTGTGCGGGAATAATAATGAATGAATTTCCTAACAATGCAGTTGGCACTTAGCAGCCCCCCTTTTTTTTTTTTCTTTTATTTATTTATTTATTTTACAAGCAGAAATCTATTCTATACATACATACTTAAAAAGAGTTAAAGACTTGACTTCTAAGGAGGTCATGGCCTCTACAGAGGTGTCTCCTCTTTATTTTTTATTTTTTTGAATTTTTATTTTTTTTATTTTTCCATTTTTTTCCATTTTTTTAAATTTTTCTTCTCTTTTTTTTTTCTATTGCCATTTTATTTTTATTTTTTCTTTATACATCTAATATAATATAACAATACATAAAAGAGTCAAAGTTCTTTTCTATAAAGCTGTTAAGTGGTAACCCCTTCATTTCTCTTTTCTTTTTTTTCTTTTTTTTTAAAATTTTTTTTCACATTTAAATTTTTTTGTGTTTTCTTAAAAATGTATTGTTCCCCACTTTACTCCTATGAGAGTAACTTTTTTTTTTTTTGCATGTGTTCCTATTTATTTTTAGTTAGTTAAAATAGTTTTCTTCGAATGTATCCCTACTTTTTTTTTTTTTTTTTGTCAATTGCTATCTTTACACATATTTTTTAAGATAAATACAAAAAACCTTAAAGGGATGTATAAATGCATTTATCATTATTCAGTAAACAATAAACTCTTTAGGTGTCTCCAACGCGTAAATACGTGCGGAGCACGTTACAAAACTAGTAAATAGGAAAAAACCAACAAAATGAAGCTCTGAAACGACAAAGCAACGAAACAAAAAAAAAAGAAAATTATAAAATTTACCCTTAAGAGTATGAATTTGAATTTTTACCTCTCATTCTTAATTAATACCCCTTTGTTAGTATAGTTATTTGACTAAACATGTTATATAAATCAAGAATAAGGGGTAGAAATCCTAATCCGTGCATTTTTAAGACGTATTTGTCTCCATTCCTCAAACAAAAATGAGACTTGGACCCACTCATCTAAACGACACAATTCATTAATTGAAACCCATTTCACAACATTTTTATTTAACTCTCACGGGACCCAAATTGATTGTTAAGAGGGGAAATCATTCTTCAAAATTAATACTTGTTAGGTAATAACCGTGATTTGAGTTATGCTATAGTGTTTTTTATCTCATAAAAAATTTAAATTTAAAAATTCTCATAAAATTTTCAAAATTAGTGACTTAAATATATGCTCCGAATGACCCTTATTTGTTCTTATGTCAGCTCTATACTTGCCACTTTTATGGCCAACAGTTGCATATTCTCCCACCTTTTTTTTTTAATCTTTTTCTAAATTTCAATCACAATATTTATATCCCATGATCCGATCACATGTTCTCAGATAAATTTGTCATCATAAAACTCGCCCCCGTAGACAAAGGGAGCCTTCTATGTTCGGCCATATGAAACACCTGCCATACTGTGCGTTTCTTAATGTCAAATCATATTACATAAGAAATTTTGTTTTTTGAAGAAAAAAGATAATCATATCAAATAAGCAAATTTAAAAAAAAAAAAAGAAGTCCAATTGGTTATGGTAATTCTTGCGTACCACATAAAGGGATAAAATCTCCTTCAAAGATACTCATGCTCTTTTAATAAAACCTGGACACAGCAATATCACTCTTTTTATAATGGATAACGTAGCAATACAAGAATCCACTCACAAAAACATAAATCCTAAAACGTCCAAGATGAAGTAGCGGACTGACTATATACAGTTAAAGACAATTTCATAAACAGAACATAATAATTTACAAATATTTATTGAACCCCATGCTTTAATCAGAACGAAAACTGAATTTTACACAAACACGACGGCAATCTAAAAACCAAAATTTTTCACTTTCTAGCAACTAAGGTTGAATACTTAGTTGACATTCACTTCTCCGCTTGCATGCGCCTCCTTGACCGTCTTGTCATACACGTCTTCTTCTTCCTCTTCTCCTTCCTCCTCACCCTCTGCTTCTTCCTTAGAATCGCCATCTTCTTCACCCCAGCCGAAACCTCCAATTGACCGGGAAGCCGGAGGAGGAGTTTTGGCATCATCCACTATCTTCATGATGTCATCTACACTCTGCAGGGAAAAGCTTGGGTTTTCCCGCCTGTAGTACATGGCTTGAGCTCCTTCTGTTAATTCTCTGGGCAAGTTCTTTAAAAACCACGGATGGTTCTTGATTTCTTTAATGGTGATCCTCTGAAACATAAATAAAAGCTGTTAAGTTTACATCATGAGTATGCTGATAACACAAAAACAGGTATCTTCAAACGATAAAAATGAGGCCTCAAAGACTTTGGCCAACTATCACAAGAAAAAAAAAAAAGTCTCTTCCATGCGGGCAAAATAAAATCTTGCAGCCCAGTGAGAGAATAATATAACTCTTCACCATAATACCAAATCTGTTCTTTACTATTAGATTAGGGAAAATATGGTAAAACTATTACTCCAGGTAAACATTCCTATCACAAGTGAAGTTGTTGTACGCGGAATATAAAAGTGACATAGTGATAGTGATGGGCAATGTCAAACTCATGCTGAAATGCACCGTGTTTCATATGATAAGGACAATAAAATACAACTCTAGGAATTTGCTCTCGTCTTGGCAAAGTGTACAGAAATAATAGAGTTCCTTTTCAGCAAAGAACCCAACATAGATTCTTTTTTTTTTTTTTTAAAAACTGTTACCTATTGCAGGATATGCTACACAACCAGAAACAACGTCATACTTAAAATCCTGGGTTTCATAAGATAAGAACAATAAAACACAACTGCAGGACTCACGTTCTCGTCTTGGCAGAGAAAACAAAAATTCTTTCAGCAAAAAACATAATACAGTTTTTTTTTTTTTTTCCTTTCTTTATTTTTCAATTATAATCTATTGTGATATGCTACACAACCAGAAACAGCGTCATACTTAAAATCCTGGGTGCCATCTGATTCTCGTTTTTTTTTTTATTTCCGGTAGGAAGTGGAAAGGTAACATAACCTAGTTAAACTTCAAGCAGAACAGGCAAAGGAGTCTCAATAGCTCGAGCAAACAAACATGCTGTGTTTACAAATTACCATGTCAATTTACCAAGATTATTCGGGGCTAAATTGTCCAAAAGTATTTATTATGATTTGAAATGCTTCCCTAATCCTAAGCTCCTCTTGCAGCGAATAACAACAATTGGGTCAAACAGAGAACAAGAACACATCAAGGTGAATAGAATATATACCCAAGAAATGGGATGGTCATCTCCTCAAAAAAATGTTCATATAAAATAAGAATTTTTCTCTTTAGAGGTCAATAATCTATAAAAATCTAAGATAGCAAGAACTTCCAAAGCAAGCAAAGACTTAAGAAGAGCAAGAAATTTCTTCCTTTTGTTTGCATTCAATCCTTTCCTCTCAACTGTTTACATTGCTAAAGTGGAAGAATTATCTTGCTCCAAAGAAAGCAGTAAAGTCAAAATTCTGGATATCAAAAACCCCCAAATAATAGAAGCAGCAGCATACATCATAAATACTCACAAGATTCCCTCAAAAAAAAAAAAAAGTCAGAAGATAACTGCAGTAGCAAGGCATAATCTGATAATGCAATAAACTATATAAGATGTGCCAATAAAGGTCAGGAACTTAGCATCATAAGTACCTTAGCAGGATTTGCAACAAATATGCGAGAAATGAGATGCCTACAATCTTGAGATACGTGAACATATTCCGGGATCTTATACTGAACACTCATTATTCGCTGCAGAGGACAGATTGTGTTGTCTAGTTAAAAGATGGAAATGGTTAATTCTAAAAAAGGTTTGATTCTAAAAAAGGTTTGTGAGGATATTATTATACATTGATCGTTTTCCTGAAATTCTTTGGGTCTTCTTGGTCTTCAAAGGGGTAAGCTCCCACCAGCATGACATAAAGAGTCACTCCACATGACCAAACATCAGCCAACTGAACAACCACAAACAAATATTAAAGCATCCACAAATATTATGCATAAACTTTGTCCAGATTAGTTAACAAACAAAAACAAGAATAGAATTAAAAAACTTTTTAACCCCTTTTTTTTTTTTTTTGAAAAGAGACAAGGGAAAATTTTATTTATGAAAAATGAAAAAGGAAAATTTAACACTCTTAAGAACTTTTCTTCTGTAAGTGAAATAGTAAAAACAGAAAAAACTGCTAGCATAATTCATGTCAACTATTCGAAGTCCTTTTCAGAAACTTATTTACAGTTTGACATAGAGGTTGAACTAAACCAATCTAAATACAAATATACGAACTACCAACATTAGGTAGGTGAACCTAGATTACCTATACATCACTTTCTAGAATACCTAGAATACATTAAAATAGTAAACGATTTTGGTGATTTCTCTAACTTTTGCTTTACAAAAAACAAGAATTTAGGCAATGACAAGTTCTGTGAATGATATTTCCAAAAAAGAAAAAAATTAATAATAATAACGGTAATTATAATAACACAAACTCATATCTAACAATTAAAATAAATGGATGGTAACAGCTTAATAGATGTAACTTCTATTGCGAATAGTTATGGCATCTAATGGAATCCGGAACTTAATTAATTCCAATTTCGTTTTGTTCCAATTCTTTTCACTACAGGTTGTAAGCATGCCTAATCCATAAAATGAATTAGCCAACCAAAGTCGTAATACACAATAGCTTAAATAATTAACTACCTTGCCATCATATTCTTTTCGAGAAAGAACCTCAGGTGCAATATATGCGGGAGTTCCCACAGTTGATTTGGGTCTTGAATGCAGCAGGGAAGACTACATTAAACAAAACTTACCACAATTAGAACCTTCCACATCTACCTTTACACATTAAAATAACCATTTTCAATACCATGTTGAATGTATGATTAAACCTTAGAATAGCCAAAATCACAAATTTTAAGGCGTGGAGCAGGGCTTCCATCCAGCAAAGTATTCTCCAACTTCAAATCTCGATGGCATATTTGCTGTAGAATTAGACAATTAACAAGAAAAAAAATGTCAGTTAATAAAAGAAAGGCAAATTAAGTATACACTTTTTTGATATATGTTTCCTTACCATAGAATGACAATAATTAACTCCTGAAATAAGCTGCTGGAAAAAATATCTTGCCTGCAAAATTTAAAAGGAAAATGTCAGTCCAAAATCCAAAACCTCAGAATAATTTATCCATATTTGTGCAACTAATAAGGCAAAGCAAAATAAAACACGGTCAAGAGCTCATCTTCTTCAGAAATTCAAAAAACAAAAAGAAACTAGCCATAATAAATTTTGCGTGGTAGGTTTTCTTTAAACACTTGGTGATATCAGACTAGAAAATAGTGATATCAGACCTCATCTTCACTGAATCTTCCTGCACTGCAGATACGCTCAAAGAGCTCTCCGCCTGCCGCATACTCCATGACAATAGCAAGATGTGTAGGAGTCAAAACCACCTGCAACTCCAATACCCAAGTAAGAACACTACAATGCTCGGACTTTTCTTTGCTCTGCCTTCGAAACATAGCAATCTCAGATAGAAAAACACTTGCACATACCTCTTTGAACCGGATTATGTTTGGATGGCGAAGCGATCTGTGGTTTATGATTTCCCTAGCCACATTTTCATCAATCTGTGAATCAAAATAGATCCGTATACAAATATACATAAATGGAACACATACCAAACTGCAAATGTCTCACATCAACAAGAAAAAAAAGGGTTTTATAAAGAAGGAAATCCCTCAATTCTATAGCCGCAATTTTGATAAAACCGTGAACCCACTAAAGCCAAAGCAGACAACATTTATACAATGGTGGAACCTATGAAACGGTATCGCAATTCAGAGGTAATCCAGCAGGACTACAAATCTTACCAAGGGGGAGAGATTAATGGAACCTTAAAAGGAAGGATATCCCCTTAAGGCATTTTGGAGTTACAGTCACACACACAAAAGGGGAAGGTCATATAATATATATATATATATATATATATATATGTATATAAATATATACAGACACACAGGATCATATACCTGTAACATATAGGAGTCGGACTACAACACAAAATTTATTCTATGTAACATTAATTTTAGGTGTAACACTGGTACGAGACCGAAAACTCCTTTCTTGTTACACTTTTAGTAACTATTACACCATGTTACACAACACAGACACAAATTCATACCTTTCTGAGCTACAAATTCATAATTATAACTATGCGTTTGCCAAATTTACAAGCTTTCTCCGGCAATTGAAATTCAATTGTATTGGATATTTGTGTATACACATTTTATTATGTATACACCGCATATAAACAGCAACAATTTCGTCAACTTTCTGGTTTTGGCGAAATCCCAAGATTCCAAATTTAAATGGTAACATTTTCAAAAATTCCTTACTGAAAAATCAAGAGAAAAAAAGAAAACTCAACGAATATTTATTCATTCGCGCAAAAATACACAAATCAACAAAAGAAAAAAAAAGTAAAATCAAGTACGGACCCTGTGACCGCGCTCGATGTATTTCATGGCGACGAGCTCTTTGGTCTCCTTGTTCCTCATGAGCCTGGCCACACCGAAATTCCCAGATCCTATGTCCTTCACAAGCTCATACTTGTCCATTTTCCTCTTTCAAATCCTTCGAATTATATCAATATATATGTATGTGTGTGTGTGTATATATATATATATATATATATATATAACTTGTGTTTTGCTTCACCTCAGAGAAGAAAGCGGCGCTCGATCGCAGTCGACCCTCAAACTCAAAGCTTTCTCGAGAAATTGAAGGCACTCAATTTCATGGGTTTTGAAGCTCACACGAACAGAGAGAGAGAGAGAGAGAGAGAGAGAGAGTCGAACAAAATCGGAAATCCAGAGAGGGCAATTTGGGATGCTTGCTTGGATTTGAGAATTGGAATGGAAAAGATTTGCTTTTTTTTTTTTTTTTTTAGAGAGAGAGAGATTTGAACAGTGAAAGAGTTTTGAAGGGAAAGCAAAGCAAAGAATCTAATAACTTTTTCTTTTGGTTCGCTGATTGGAGTTGATATGTGATGTTGTGTGAAAACTTTTTATTATAGTAAAAAAGTTAGATGTGATTGTTTCTAACAAAACTCAAATTCTAAACTTGTGACTGTTTCTGAGAGCTTTTTACTATAGCAAAATTCGAATTCTAAACTTGAATCAGCGAAAAAAATAGGACGCAAAAATAATGAGAAAGAGAAGAAAAAAGAATCTTCCCACTCCACACTACTTCAGGGATTTTCTTTCTTTTTTTTTTTTGGCAAAAAAAAAGTGAAAGTTTTTTAGAGAGGGAATAGATTAAGGGCATGTTTAGTTCATTGATTCGAGTTTTTAATTTGAATTGAGATGTGATTTTATATGAGAATTTTTTATTATTTATTTCTGCAAATTTTTTTAACTGTAACAAACTTAAATTTTAAATTTAAATCGATAAAATAAACAGAATCTAATAATAATTTGGCAAATGGCAAATACTCGTAAAGTTTGGATTATAGGACCCTTTATCTCACTTTAAAGACATCACGAGAGAATACAAAGGAATATTATTATTATTGTGCTTCTGAATGGTCTCTTTCCCAATAATTTTCCAACACTCACATACCAAACAAAACCGACTAAAACCGTTCAATATTTGATTGAAGAAAAATTTTGAATTAAAAAACCCTATAATAAAAAAGTTTAAAATTGAATCAAACGAATGCTAAGTAGTTAACTAAAAAACAATATGGAAAAAGAATGAGATAACTGTTGGATCTTTTCAATCATTGTTTCACATTTTAAGAATCATCATACTAAATTATTAAGAAAATAAGTTAGAATAAATACTTGTCTCCATTGATGCAGTCTTGAATCTCCAATAGAATTCTCTAAGACAACAGGCACGACGATTATTACATTCCTTAGTCAAATCTCCTTAGTTCCTTAATGAAGTGTTTTCTCTCTAGATGAGGAAGAATGAAAATTGCCGAATGATTTTACGTATTATGAACCATAACCTAAGTTTCTTTATATACTGCCACATTAGGCTCCCATTAAACCTAGTTGGGTCAATATGAGTATCTACCCATTCAACCCATACCTTGTTACGAGATTATTTGGGCTTTCCATAATTAGATCACTTAATTAACTCAATTAATTAAATAGCTTAGAATAAATATGTGGCCCACAATATAGGAAACTCACGTTTCCTAACAATCTCCCACTTTGGCTACATATGATTCCTGAAATAATTATATCATATATAATTCCTTAGGCGCGCAACCGTATGCTATTTATCCTTAGTCTCCACTTAAGATACAATCTGGTCTATCTCCTATATTAGTATAAGATCATGGCGGCTTTTGTCACCCTCAAATGCAACTAAACCTCCCATAGTCACCATACCAACATATTTAATGACATAGATCGAGTATGGATGAGTGGCATGGAAATACATGCAATGTGATCTCCAACATGCCTATTTCCAACTGGTCCTGCTTTATTCTTCATGAGATCAATCCGTAATTTTCAAAACATAATGCAAGATTGCAAACAAAAAATTAACACATTCAGAGAGAAAATTATAAAACTGTAAATCCATCTTCTTTATTCTGCAGAAAATAAACAACTAAATGTTTATGTCATAGAACATCTAAAATTAAAATCAACTCCCACTAAACTATAGTATCCTCAAATAAAATAACACTCATATGAGCAGTGTGCTCGTGAAAGGCCTTGGGTGTTAAGCCCTTAGTTAGCGGATCCGCAAGCATGGAGTTTGTCCCGGTGTGTTCTATCCAAATCTGACTATTCTGAACTCTTTCTTTAACAACAAGAAACTTAATGTCTATATGTTTCGATTTCGTAGAGCTGCTGTTGTTATTAGAATATAGCACTGTCAATTTATTGTCACAAAATATCTTTAACAGCTTCTCAATACCATTAACCACACGCAGCCCCGTGATAAAGTTTCGCAGCCACATCCCATGATTAGATGCCTCATAACATGCTATGAACTATGCAACCATGGTAGAAGAAGCTATGAGTGTCTGCTTAACACTCTTCCGAGAAGTAGCTCCTCCTGCCAACATGTAAACATAGCCTGACGTGGATCGCTTACTGTCTTAGCATCCAGCAAAATCAGAATCAAAATACCCGATGATCTCTAGTCTGTCTCATCTCCGATAAGTGAGCATGTCATCCTTTGTTCTCTTCAAATAGCGCATAACCCGTTTGGCTGCTTTCCAATGATCCACTCTTGGGTTACTTAAGTATCTGCCCAATACTCCCACTATAAATGCTATGTCGTGACGAGTGCAAACTTGAGCATACATTAGACTTCCTATTGCTGATGCATAAGGAATCTTTTCCATTTCCTTTATCTCAAGTTCATTCTTAGGGCACTGACTGAGACTAAACTTGTTTCCCTTAGTTAAGGGCGTATCTCCTGATGAACAATTCTTCATGCCAAATCTATCCAGTGTTGTCCCGAATAAGGCTACCCAAGAGGGGGGGGGGGGGGGGGGGGGTGTGGGTGTTTGTGAA